TTTGTCAGATATTCTTGCAAAAATTTTTAGAAAATAAATATTCCAAATTTAGTTACTGTAATTTGAAAAGCCCATCTCAAAAAACGCTTAGATGTTAAGGAGTGCTTATCTGAAAAGTCCTGAACTGTGTGCTAAACAACCACAAAAATCAGCTAGGTATCAGTAAAGGTTAAGAAAGGGATATTACGCAGGATGCCAAAATAAAGAAAAAAGAAAGAAAGAAAGAAATCAAAAGCAACGAATTAAATAAAAGCTAAAAAACAACCCCCCTTGTACTAGTATCTGGATTGGTTAAAAAAGAAATTCTACTGAGCTTGATTTCTAATTGAATTATCATTAGATGTAAAATGCAACCTAAATCATATTAGGTTACCTCGGGGTTGTGTTTTTTTCTCACCACAAACATGGATCCTTCATTCATGTGGGTATTTGGGCAGACTACTGAGGCTGTAAAATCTAGATACCACTTTTTCAATATTATAATTAAACACACTTCTTTCCTTACTTCTCCCAATAAACAGATCTTGAATACTTTAAACTAGTTGCTGCAATGACATCCGGTCGTTAGTTAGCACATGATCAAATCTGTAAAAGGTTTTAAGAATACAAAGAAAGTCTGTTAAAATGAGGCATCCTCTACTGTTTTATGTAATGTACCCTGACTGCTCCTGAGTAAGAACGGAGCTTGTCCTCCATGAGATAAGGCTATATCCTCACTTGTTGGTGAGACCAAATTCTACCCTTAGAAAATCCCAAATAAAATTACAGCAAAGGTAGTGTTACAAAGTAATTAACCAAAGCATTTCTGAAGGTAGTGTGTGCACATTTTCCACCTCCTTTCCCTCCGGGTGAGCACTAAATAGACTGCTGATTTGTTAAGTAAATTTAATAGTGAGAAGAAAATCACAAAACGTAAATTGACCTAAATAATTATGTGTCATTGAATAACCAAATTTCTTAAATTCCAAGGTTCATTGTTCTTAGAATTTTTTCTTTAGTTTAATCCTTCAATTAGTTGAATTGTAGAAGAGAAACATGAATGATTTTATAAGATGGCTTTCCAATTTGTAATGATAAAGCTCCCAGTATGACAGAGGTGGTTTCTAAAAGGGGGCTTTTCTTCTTCTTTTTTTTTTTTTTAAATAAAGGCAAATGTAACTTAAGAAAAAAAAAGAAAGAAAAGCATGCAGGCTCTACAGGCAAGGAGTCCACTTCCATGTATCTGTTCTCTGTGAGGTAACTCAATTCTCTTTTGTAGAGAAACATGCAAAAGGCCAAACAATATCCCGAGCCATACTGCACATGAAAATTTTAAAATATGCAACATTCAGAATGCACCTTTCACCTCTGTACACACAAGTCAATGCAAAATCTGCAAAGAAACAAGTGTCACAGTAAATGAAGCCAGGTGCAAGCAATGACAGCTGAACAATGCAGTAGTGCTCACCCAGTTTGTACAGTAATTGGCACTCTACAGTATTTCTACTCATTTTTTGATTCATTTGCACTTTGTGCTGCCTCTCCCTGGGGATCTAATTCAATCTTTACAGAAACATCTGGCCCCTCCGACCTCATTAATTTCATCTTTTTCTTTGGAGGGTTTTTCAAAGTGCCCAGCCTCTCCTTTACTTTGTACTCCAGTGTACTGTGGGGAATCCCATAAATACTCTGAGCTTTGGAAACACTCATTTTTCCACTCATAACCACTGAGATTGCTTCCTCCAGTATCTCACTGTTGTACTGTCTGTAACGCCCTCTTTTCTTCCGAGGCTGCTTGGAGCCAGGGTCTCCTTCTTGATCCGATGTGGGATATGGCTGTCCAGAGGTAGACTGCTCAGCATCTGAGCCCCAAGAATCGGGTCCAGCATCTAGCATGCTTTTTCTATTTTGTTTTGGAAGAATAGCCCTTAACTTTTTACTAAGCGCGCTCTCCGTTTGTGAACCCATTACCAAAGAGCTATAGCTGTACTGATCACCAGTGCGAGACTCCCAAGAAAGATCCATTCCTCGAACTTGTGGTATCTTTAAATCTACAGGAGATGCATGGCTCGCATCCTTTTTTCCATCTTGTTTTGCTTGAAGTGCCATTTTTGGAAAGGCAGAGTTTTCTGCAAGAAAAGGAAGGTCACTGATGTTGCTGAGTGCACCATTTCCCCTGAACTTCATACGGCTGAGGTTGAACTCATAATGTGGTTTTGCCCAAGAGGCTTCCCTGGATAATATTAAGTGTTGTCCATGATTCTGTAATCCAGATGGCCCAAGGCTGGCAGCTGTTGACAATTGGTTTCTGCTCAGTAGCTCTTCACTAATCTGCAGGGATCGAGCCAATGGAACTTTGAGTGATGTGGAGTGTCCAAAACCTTCCCTGGTTCCATCCTGTAAGCTTCTTGGAGGTACCCCATCACCACTCCGAAGTCCGTCTGGGCGGTACTGGCTGGGTCTCCCAGGTCGCCTAATTGGATGGAAGGAAACTGATGTGAGCAGGACTTGCACAGGTAGGGAGGGATGGGTGAGGGGACCACTCCTTTATTAGAAGGCCTTGCTTGGGTAACATCACTTTGTGTTATTTATTTATTTTTCTCTAAAATTAAAAAAAAAATGGTCTCAGCAGTTAGTTTTAAAACTTGTTCACAAAAAAAGAAAAAGGAAAAAAGAAAAAAAAAAAAACCAGGAGCTTTTTGGGCAAAGAAAAATTAAACCTGTCAGCTGGTCTCTGGTTGGGTTCACAAATTTTCGGAGAAAAAGTTTCGCGCAACTGTCTGAAAATAGCACCTTAATTATTAATTACAAAGTAATCATCGAGTCTCCATAGATCTACACAGAATTGTGTTACCAATGTGACGTTACCACTAAACAAGTACAGTAATAAAAGAGTAAGCCAAATTATTTATTTTAATGCAACATATTCAACATTCATGACAACCAGCTATAAAACTGGAACCATTTACATTGGTGGAACCCATAGATAATTGCTCATTTATCCCACAAACAAGCTGATATTCATTATCAAAAACCAAACAAGTTCAAATAACATTTCTTATTTTGCTTGGGAAAAAAATATGGCTACCAGCCCCAAGGGGTGGGGGGGGTGGGGGGGACCCAAACCAAAATACCCATCGCATTTTAACTTACCACATCTTCATTTTAAAACACTATTAGCTGCAGACACACAAGTACCACTATGTTTCCATTTGAAATAATCCAATCTTTAAAGAACTGCCCTTTATTTTCCCCAAACTTTGTTCCTTAAGTTCTACTCAAAGTAATTACTGTCAGAGGTATATGTTTTAAACAGTTTTAAAGCAGTTTTCTTTAGTTAAAATGGTCTCTTCTTAAAATACCAAACATCAATTTTGAAATTTTAAGTGGAAAGCTTTCAAATAATATTTAAAAAGTCAACTACTTACAACAAGGTTAATTCATAAGGTTTCCATTTTTCACAAGATATAAAGATTATCACTGATAAAACTGGCAACTGGTAAAGCATGCCCAAGGGGAATAATTACATTTACTAGGCACAAACGTGGAACTCTGAAGAAATGATAAACCAGCTATGTTCTCCAAAAGTCTACAGGGACCCTGTGCTATTATCAGTAAAAAACATAATAAAGATAACAATGAATAGTCAACTAAAAGATGGGCAATCTATTGGTGCTTTTGTCATCCAGAAAACGATACCACATAAAAAACACTTTCTTTCCATTCAGAGGGATAAACACAGCAACTTCAACCATATAATACATGGACTTGGTGGCCAAGTTTAAAGTAATCTTAGGCGAGGGATTCATTTATACAAACCACACTTAAGCTTCTCCTACATGTGTCCTCAATTACACAATCCAAGTTTTCTGATACATAAAAAATGGAATCCAATGATTTGGGACCACAAGGACTTGTATCTAGTATAAACTATAGTGAAAAGGAGGGCTTAAGAAAAAAGGTTAGTAAACCATGCAAACTGCATTAAATCAAGAAGTTACTTTTAGATTGAATAAAGGAGGAGAGAAAAAGGAAAATGACAGAATTTTAGAGAAAATAAAGGCAGCATTTTAGAAGTCAGTAAAGGAATCCTTCAATTTGAAGGTAATTAAGAGGAAGTTGAAAAAAGGTTAGTCCATTTAATGTGTACTTATTGCTTTAACACCTAAAAACTTTCCTATGTCGATATTCTAAAAGTTAATAAACTTGAATATTACCTAATTTAGCTTACCGAAGTGATTTTTCATGAATGAAGTTGATTTTTGGTCACAACACAATTTTATGGAAATTCCTTCCCAATATGGCACTTAAATGTCTTCATTAATATCTGGCTTTTCTACATGGTTTCTATGTACATGTAGAGGGAGAATTAAGACAATTCTCACACTATAAAACTAGGTGGTGGGTAATCTGCTAAGAGTTATCAAAACTGAGCATATAATGTCTTGATAGCATAGGACGGTTATCCCAACATCTACAGTCTTAACCACTTAAAAAACAAAAAATACATACGATTATTTTTTCTGAACTGCCACACAGAGTTAAAACTGCAGTTCAAATCAACAAACAAAACAAAACCAAAACAAACAAACAAGAAAAAAACAAACAGCCCCCACATACCCACACATTTCATTAGAGATACCAAGTAAAATACTGGAGCCCAATTTTCATTCAACAACCTCCGCACACATACTACTGCCTTTACATCTGAACTCTGGAATTATTTAGGTTGGGTTTCCCACTCCCAAACACTCAACAACAGAAAGTCCCAAGACATTCTTGCCATATTTTCAATCATTTACTATTTGTACTAACTTGGCAAACCTGATCTACACTAGTCAATTCTGGACTTCACAGACTGTGCTTTTACTTGATCAATGGACTAAGCAATTTACTAAAGGCCTACTTATAACAACGTTATTCTGAAGAATTAATTTTTAAAACATATAAAGGAGATTTTCACCAATCTTCGATAAACCGTCCCCTATAAACTGTGAAATTCTACAAATATTTTCCCTTACCCGTTCCCTTGAGCACTGGAGCAGCCTGGAGAATGGCTCAGGGAAGTGCTGCCAGCACATGGACTTTTCTTAGTGGACAGATCAAGTACACCGTCTGCAGAGACACAAACACACACCTGAGGATATTAAAAACTAGGAACAAATGTGAACTGAACAGACTAAAAATGACAAAGCAATAGGTCTAGTCAACCAAGCAGATACACTAGCTATATACGTAAGACAGGGTATCTTCCCTCCTAAAGTGACATACATTTAGCAAAGCTTGTTATATCTAACATCTCCAAGGGTTAAATATTTTATTAATAGGGCAAAAGAAAAGGTACAGCCTACCACTGAAGACATTAGGATATAGTCAGGTATTAGAAATTGCAGTTTACACAGTATGTAAATAGAACTATTAGACTTCGCTTTCGAAATGTGCCTTTATCAAAGCATATGAGATCTCAATGCCACATCATACAGATTATAAAACCAAATTCCTCAAGAGCTAAGTCTACCCGAAACACTAAAACAAACATTAAAGTTGGATTTAGAAAATTTTATGTGACACAAATCATTTTGAAACATAAGTTTATATGGTTAAATTATATGTATATACAAAATAGTCTGTAAGATGAATCAGATGTTAACTGTGATTTTCATGTGTCCTCATTACTCTTTGGACACATCTGCAAAAAACTGTATATTTGAATTCAATCTTTTGGAAAAACTCTTCAGAGATTCAAAATTCCCTTCTTGGTATTTATAAAGGCAAGGTTTTTCAATTAATAAGCTGTTACAAACTGGCGAGCAAAGTTTAAGGAAAGAGAGAAGAATGAAATCGTCTTGATACTGATGAAAGCCTAGAGATTTAACCATTTTTTACTGAAACTAGAATAACAAATTCATGTTATCAGAACATAAAATTAGAAGACCTTCTTATCCCACAAAGACTTCTTTCCCTCATAGACATGTCTAGAAAAGAAAACTCATCTTCTAGACAACTTTTAAAGCTGCCATTTTGTCCAAAATTAACAGAGCAAGCTAATAATCAATGGCTCTGATTTTCAGCTGACGAGCAGAGAGGCCTATCTAGTTATGTTAAAAACTGCCCCAACATAGAACCTAAATAGGATTTGTGTCTGAGCACACTGTAACTCCTGATTTCAGGCTGTTAGAAATACGTGACTGAGCTTGTAAACCAAAAATCCCACACTCATCCAGAATAACTGTTGTCCTTTAGAGTCACTAATATTTCTAAAAATATAGTTGTAATCTTATAAGGACACCAAGTTAACCCAATTAGACATCTAACAAGCAAACACACTGCTTAAAATACTTCCAACCAAAATATTTCCAACAAAAGACACTATTTAAAGACTTCCAAGCCTGTCTAATCATCAAAGAGGCAACATATTTTAAGTCTACTTAAATATACTAAATATACAGTGGTTTCATTGAAAACACTTGAAAATAGATCTGGGAAATAAAATGTTAAAATTCTGTTTCACTTGAAGTCTATACACTACAATCCTGTCATCTAGGTCAAATTCCTCTTCAGAGCATACGGTCAGTACAATGTATCTCTTAAGTACACCACCAACTAGAAGAAGTTAAATTAGACTAAGTGGTATCTTTGTATGTTAATCTCTATCATTAATATTTTAAATACAACCTCTACACTGTCATTCTCCTATTGTAAACCTGAAGTTTTTAATGCAATATTTAGAGCATAAAGATTTTTAGGGGCGCCTGGATGGTTCAGTCAGTTAAGCGTCTGACTTTGGCTCAGGTCATGATCTCACGGTTTGTGAGTTTGAGCCCCATGTCTGGCTCTGTGCTGACAGCTCGAAGCCTGGAGCCTGCTTCAAATTCTTTGTCTCCCTCTCTCTCTCTGTCCCCGCCCCGCCCCCCCCCACCTCTCTCCCACGCATGCACACTCTCTCTCTCAAGAAATGAATCAACATAAAAAAAAAAAAAAAAAAAAAAAGACTTTTAATGAAAGCTACCAATCTTTGGTAAAGATAATCCTCAATAAAACAGAAAAGCACAATTTTGCGAATATGGTGACCAAAGGTACACTGATCAATGTGAACATATGACAATGAGGAATTCTACTAGGAAATCTCTCAGAATTTTGAGATTACGATTGCTGTTCTTTACCCAGAAACAGAAAAAAAGAAAAAGAAAAACTATTCAAAAATGTATTCTTTAAAAACCTAAAGCCAGTCCATTAAATGTAAATCCTTCTTAAATTACTTATAATAAGCAAAAGAAAGTCCTTTCTAAGAGGTTCTTCATACAAATTCAAACCTAATTTTGCAAAATGAACATGTATTTCTCACCAATAAATCCACACCTCTCATAACTTTCTGCACACTCTTAGGAGATATTCTAGGAAAATGAACTCTCACTAGAACAGATATCACCAATTTACAATCTGTAATGGGTCAAACAATGGCCCAGTTGAAATGCTCACTGCATCTCTGTGAAATTAAAAGTAAAAGGGATCACAAAAAACCCCAAATATTTAATCTATTTAAGAGTAAACTTTTCTTAGATTCAAGAAATATTTGCTAAGCAAAACTGATAACCTTTTAACCTTGTCCCTTAATTAGGATCCTCACCAACAAATTTAAATTACCTTGGAAATATTCTAAGGTTAATTCATAATACAGTACATATACATATGGAGGTGCTTGTATATATACATGTATATCCATATACATATGGAATACACTGAACAACCTGCTGTGTCTACTGTCTTCCTCATTATATCTAACCCTAGGAGTTTCTTTTTTAAAAATGCAAACAATACACATTCTCGCCTTATAATTTCATTTGCAGAGTATAAATTCTACCTAACAAGATACATGTATTTCTCAGCTAGGTGCTAATTCTAGAACACTGATGATCAGGGGAAACTTAATTTTTTATAGGGGTTTTAAAAACAATGGATATGGCAATGCTTTGTAAAACATAAAATATTTATATAAATATCAAGTAACTTAAAGATCAGTAACAAGTGTAACCACCTAACTTTCCTGAGTGGTACATTGATCTTGACTACAAACTACTGATATATAATGTATAGTAGCCATTTTATCTGTACTTCTCTATGACTGCATAGTCAGGAATAATTTAAGAATCAAATTAGTTTTTATCCTATTGTTACTGGTGCCCTACTTGCCAATAATTTTCTTCTCCCCAAAGTTAAAGTATTCTGATTGGACAGAGGAGACCTTGACATCAAACCATACCTTGTTCGCTAGGTTCTGACTGAGACTTTCTGACAGTAAGGTCCAGAGGTGAGTCTTGGTCAGCCATGAGAAGTTTGCTGAGCACAGGGTTCTGAGTAGTTGCAGCCGTGGGAGAGGTGGTGACTGGAGATGCTTTCGGCAGGCTTTGGTTCTTTGTGCTATTGGGCTGGCTGGGGTCCTGAGTAGAGCTATTTTTTGAGGTATATTCAGCAGCAAATTGTTGGATCATTCGCTGCATGATCTCACGGGCCACTAGGGGAATATTGGGGTCGGAGACCCAGGGACTGTCTGTAAACAAAGATTTATTTACTTTTAAACTGGGACAATGTACTACAAAAAAAAAAAAAAGAAAAAAAAAAGAAGACAGCTTTCAAGCAAACATAAAATTTCATTTTCTTTTTTTCTTAAAATGCAATCTCCTAAAAATAGTATTCCCTCCCAGAATTAGATTTTTTAAGCTCTAAGCTTATGAGCTGCAGATTTTTTGAAGTAAAATTTTCATAAAATCACTTCTAAACACCCCCCTCAGTATTATGAAATTAAATAAAGGGAAAACAAATAGTATATCTTATGGGCAAGAATCACTTACCTGATACAGAAATCTCAAACCTTTCTTTTATGAAATAATTACTTCTGTTTACCACCTATAGATTACATCCAGTTTTTCCTAGACCTTTCCTCAGCCATCTCTTCCTAAATTGTTGAAGAATGGATTACTCAGTTATGAGTACATAATCTACTTTCTGTCAAAGACTGAAGGCATAGCAAAATTGTAAAAGGAGATACTTAATATAAGGTCCATGACAGACTGGGGCCATAGCCTCACATTTTCAGGCTCATAAGAATCACTTTGAGGGCTTGTAAAAACACACTGCTGGGTCCTATCCCCAGGGTTAACTGATTTAGCAGTTCTAGGGTGAGGTCAAGGACTGGCATTTCTACTAAGTTTCTAGGTGCAGCTGGAACCACTGGGCTTGGAGTTTAAAGGCCAGATCTCAAAGTTTAACACCATATATTTTCCATGAGTTCTTTAAATATACTCTGCCAATCATTAAGCACAATAGCAAAGGAATTAATAAAATAAACTTATCAATTTCTAATCCACATTAATTTAAAAATAAAGACCATATGAATTCATTAACTCGTAGAACTTCTGGCACTGGAGGGACCCTGAAGGTCAAATGGGGCAAAATAAAAGAGAAAATGTTTGGTATAAATATATCATCACATCTCTATCATTACCACACTCTCAGGGAGACTAAGCTTCTCAAGAGCAGAGATTATGTTTGTTTACCTCTGTATACTCAGCACCTAATCTTGCCTGGCATAAAGTATGCATTCATATTAGCTGAGTAATAAATGGATCAGTCAAATCAATCACCATCAAATAGTGTTTTGTTTTTTTTTCTGTAGACAAATAAGGTTAATGTGTCTTAAGAGAAGTGACCTCTTCAAATCTGTATAGATGGTTAGTGGTAGACCCTTGATTAAAACTCTCCCCCTGATCTTAATGTTCCACCTGTGACCTTTACTTCCACACCACACTTCAGAGGTTTCAGAAGGCAGTTCCAGAAAACCTGAGTTTCCTTGGTCTTTTAAAGATCAACTACAGAAGGTAAATTACTTTACCCATAATATGTTGGAGCTATAAGGGAATTAGGTTGATTTATAAATTTAGAGATAAACTGACTCATTACAATTCAAACCTAAAATCTCCACAACATACACATCATCAAAACTTCATGGGACTCTAAGAACAATTTTTTTTCCCCCTGAAAAACAACATTAAATACCAGAACAAAGTCTAAAGTCAGAATATTTAATTCTCTGGAGTTTAATGAGGTTTTTCTCTACCAACAGCAACATTTCTGTTCTACCAAAAGTACTTCTAACCCCATGTTTCTTCTCTATAAATAGACTGAGTGTGCTAGATGGTTTAAGAATCAAGGTATTCAATTAGGTAAGGTTCAGAAATTATTACAACCATGAATGAGTTCCTTAAAAGTTTTAATAAACATTTTAGCCATACATTGTTTTAAAATCTCTACCCACTGAATATTCTTATTAATATTCATTTAACTTTCCACTTAAGACCTATCCTCCAAATAAAAGACTGTATATAATTTCAAGTTTTATATTTTCTCAAGTTTTATATATTAATGTATCTTCTTATCCCCCGTAACACATAAAGAAAGTTTTCAAATAGGCAGAGTTAAACTAGATTCATAAATATATAGATTTTTGAAAAATCAGGGATTTTAGAATAAAGACCATAAACTGCTACCTCTGACCTTTAAATGGCTGTGGTGTATCTTGCCTCTTTGTTGAATGAAGAACATAACCATAAAACACAATTCATACTTACAAATTGATGACATATCTGTCATATGAATTTCTACATGTTTTGAAAAGTTTCCTGAACACATTTCATTCTTTCACTTACTTAAAACACAACTTCTATAAATCTAGACATGTCTTGGGGAATATGCACAAGTGAGTCAAATAAAAACCACAAATCAGATCAAAATTAACACTACAGGAAAACAAGTAAATGTTACATTACAGCCACTTATGTTTTTAAAATGCAAATCTAACTTTTAGAAAGTGTCAAATTTTCTAACACAAGTGACAAAGCTGGAAAAAATTTGATAATGATAGTTGAAGGTATACCGTTCATAAGCTAAAATTTATTACTGAATCCATACCACAAAAGCCTACTTTAATTGCATCTATGTTCCTACTTAGCTTTTAGAACCTTTTCATACTCATTTAAAACACACAATTTGCAATACTTGGAAACAAAGTATTAATAACTCCAAATCTCTGAACTATTTATTTAAAAAAAATATATATATATGTATGTATATATGTATACATACGTACACACACACACACACACACACACACACACCCTTCAGACTAAATTGCCTGTCATATCTCTGCATATTATATACATTTTTGGTATAACTTGAAGAGTACTAATGGCTTTCAGACATTTCCATGAAGATTAATATTTAAAAATATCAATATTAATACATAAAACAAGGAGGAAGGAACTTCTAATAGCAAAGCAATAGTTCTTTTTCTGAACATCATATGCCAGTATACAAATACACGAACTTAACTTTACATACAATTTCAGAGGATTCTCATCCCTAAAGTCTACCCTAAGGCTGATTCCAAGGTAAACATTCCTTCCCTCATGTATCCAAAAGTTTAATTTTAAAATAAAACTTAGAAGAACTTTAAGCTATTCCTACATGACAAAGGGATGGGACCAGCAGAGAAGTAGGCTAGAATTCTCTTTAGGAATATGCTTATGATTGGCCTTATTAACTCCCTCCAAGCAAAGACTGGATGAAAAGTGGTTTCTCCACATATAGGAAGAGGAGCTCCTCTTTGCAGATAATGAAGATTGCTACAGCATTAGGCCCCTGACTCATTCAGTACACATCCTAAAGGACAGGAGCAGCAGAGGAGCTGTAAAGATATTTTATTTAATAAACTGACAGAACGAGTCTATCATTTATACCTTAATGTGAATTACTTTAATAAAACAATCAAATGTTTATAAAACTAAGAAAATTACTATTTGGAACATAATTTTAGATTTCAGGGTATTTAGGGGATGATAAAGTGAGCATGGGAGCCTCAGTTGGGAGCTTCACATCAGAGGGTGCTGAGGGTACTAAAAGTGAGGTGAGGGTGTACTGAAAAATTTAACTTTGCATAGGAAAAAAAGGTGTCACTGAAAACAATAATCTTGTGCGTTCCTTAATTTTATAGGACACTTCATACTCCATTTTGAAAATACTGACCACATTAAGCAGAACATCAGCTGGTTTCCAACTGTAACCAACCAATTAGAATAGCACTTTATCAGACTTCCAACCACTGTAAAGGCAAAAATCACCCTTCAAATTTCAGAGGGAATTCCCAGAAGAATGAGGGATATAAACTAGAACATATAAAGAAGTGGAAAGACATAACTAAGGAACACAAATCCATTTAGAATTTCCTGAAAGTAAAGACTTCACTAGAATGGATCATAGAGGGAAGGAAGCTTTCTGAAGGTCTTGGCCGATGGTAATTAGGCTTTGTGAATAGAGAAACAAAATGTAAATCATGTCTACAAAGGTTTTAAGGAGAAAGTTAAATTGAAAAATATAAGAGGTGGAGCTATTAAATACCACCTCAAATGTAAGGGGGAAAGTTTTATTACATAATTATGAATTCCTTTCTCTAATTTTAATAATTTAAAGAAGTTTCAGCAAAACAAGGCTCTATCAAGGAAATAAATGCCTGTAAATCTAATTTTAAGATACAACTTCACATCTCTCTAAATGAAATTTCAGCAAGGAATTACTAAAATTTTATACAGTTTTATGGTTATCTGCGATTAAAACTGTCACTATGTATGTAAGAAAATTTGACAAAATATATTAGTACTGAGACCTCAGAATTTTTTAGACTTTCATAATACTTTCAGGAACTATTGAACACAACTTACATGATTCCATCACTTCAAACTGAAAAAGAGGGAAGAGGAGTTGCCTTAACCTATTCCAAATTTAACTTGACCAAAGGAATATAAAGTGTGTTATTAACAAAGAAAAATGTTTTTAAAAGTAACTTTTTAAAAATGACATTAAAATTAAGAAAATATAAGACAAGCAGATGCTAAATGCCATTCTTCACTAGAACCAACCTTTTCTATAAAAGACTGCATTGAGGAACTCTTCTGCTTGTCTCTCGAATCGAATGATTTTTGCTTGCTCTTGTTTAAGCAGAGCTTCTTGCCCAGCTCCCGAAGCTGGTTCATCCAGACCGACTAAGTGTCCCTGCAAAAATATTTGGTGAAATATTTGCACAAAAATCTTTCCCCATTCAGTATCAAAAGCACAGATGCAAAATCAAAGACAAATGTTAGTAACAGATAAGACAAATCAGTTTAATACAATTAAAATATCTTAGAACTTTAAATCAGAATAAAATTTATCTCCACAAAAGTATAAAAGCAAAGTGAATGTAAATATATACTTGGGTGGTTTTTATGTATCTTACAAGTTTTGTTTAAAACTGACAGATAAACTCTAATTAAAATAACATTACTAATGGAAGATTTTTCTTGAGCATTTAAATATGTCCGTTCTTATTACACCATACAGCAATAGTACACAGACATTCAACTCAGACAAAAAAAATAGCTTAAATCCTAAATACTATTTGAGAATCATGTTTGCCCTCCTAGTATAAGATGTTTTCTCCAGACACAAAACAAACATAATTTTAAAAGGGCCGTTAGAAGGGAAAACTCAAAAGAATGTATCCGAATTCATAATTCTGTGCCTAGAATATAATTCATAAACTGTAGCTTTCAAATGTTTAGAGAGTTGTGAAATTAATACGTTAAAACTGGCTCTAGAAAACAGAATTTAAAAATATACTGCGTCACATGTTCTAAAGGTACACATTTCTATATATGCTTGAACATGCTTACAATATAAACATGTTAAGTCCTGATCACAAAGTTTCAAACTGCCACACTAGACTCATCCCAAAGACTCCCAGAATCTGCTCTCAGGCTATAGGAGCACTAGACTAGGTAGACAATGCTTTGCATTTACTTCCACTCTTGTAGCTAATGAACAGGAGACTAAGTAAGTACATCTTTTAAGTGTCCTTTAAGTTCCAATGCATATAATTTACTTCAAATCACCACAATGTATAGCCACAGGCATATATAATTCTGTCATGGAAAACTTAAAAGTACTTAGAAGTACCTAAAAGTACTCTAAAAAAGAAAATGGGGACACACCCTGACACAGTGAAAAGGAAGCAAACAGGGTACTGAAGGCACATTATAATCCACAATTTTCTCAAAGATTTCAAATACAAGCAATGACATGTGCAATCAGATTTTTTTATGATTTCTCCATTGTACAAACTGTGTCAACAGCACAACCAAAATATGTGTCTTTTGCAAAGACACATTTAGCACCAATTATATATTACAGTTTAATATGAAGAACTCTCTTGCATAATCAAACGAAAACAATCATCCCATAAAATATCCATGAGACACGTTAAGTCTGCCACATAAAGAAAATATTGTTATAAAGTCATTATAAAAACATTTTCACTCATTCATTCATTCATTCATTCATTCATTCATTCATTCAGTAGGCTTCCCCGGCCCAGCATGGAGCCCAACCAACACAAGGCTTTAACTCACGACCCTGAGATCAAGACGTGAGCTGAGATCAAGAGTTGGACACTTAACCAACTAAGTTTATTATAGTTGTACTTGCCAACTTTATTATGGTTGTATTTGCCAACATTCTCTTTCGTGGCCTAAAGAAATTAATTTTTAAAAATGAATCACAAAATAATGTAATTTTGATACAGATTTAACATCTGAAAGGATCAGGAACAGGTACTAATTAGAGACCAATAAAATCCTCAACTGTGTTTTAATGGCATTTCATTGTTTAGTGATTTTTAAACTCAGACATTATATGGTATAAACTGTACTTAACCCCTCAGTCCTACATTCAGTAAGTTTAGTCAGACTTTCAGCAGGATATCTTTATTTTTCGTGTTTAAAAATGCGTATCTCAATGAGAGAAGATGTTAGTTGAAGGACGCATTGTACACAGTGTAGTTTCAATGCGTTAAGCATACAGCTATCCCCATTGATTCTACACATACATTTACAAATACGTGTATCCTTTCCATGTCTTTCCAAGTTTTTATTTAAATTCCTGCTAGTTAACATACAGTGTAATATTAATTTCAGGTGTAGAATTTAGTGATTCAACACTTACATACAACACTTGGAGCTCACCACAAAAATAAGGAACACTTCACGAATCTGTTATCATCCTTGCATAGGGGCCATGCTAATTTTTTCTGTATGGTTACAATTTTAGCATATGTGCTGCCAAAGCAAGCACAGAATATCTATACTTAAACCATGCTCAAATGTTGCATTCAGGCTACTTTCTAATCTAAATCAACTCATAGCAACTAACAGCACTCAGTAAGGAAGGTGTTACATGTTTTTTTCTTGAATTAAACAATTACCAATTTTATCAACCTGGACGCTGAGACCTTCAGATAACTTTTAGTTGGTTCATCTAAATTATAGTCACACCTATTTGTTTTGTTTCCAAACAAACAGTTTTATTGAGATATAATACACATATCATACAATTCACCTATTTAAAGTATAAATTCAATGTTTTTCTTGTAGCGTCACAGAGGTGTGGGACCATCACCATGATAAACTTCAGAATATTTTTGTACCCCAAGACATCAACAGTCACTCACTTCCCATTCTCCCACTTGCCCCAACATTAGGCAACCACTGTATTATTTTCTGCCTCTCTCTACAGACTTGCTTATTCTGGATATTTCACATAAACGGAATCGTGCAATATTCATGGTGTGTGTGTGTGTGGTTTCTTCCTCCTAGAATAATGTTTTCAAGGTTCACCCCATCGTAGCAGATACCGGTACTTCATTCCTTTTTATTGCCAAATAACATTCCATTGTACTGATGTAGCACATTTTACCCATTCATCAGTTGATAATGACCATTTGGATTTCTTTTTGGCTGCTATGATACAAATAATGCAGTCTTTAGTGTTTGTGTACAACATTAAAGTTTTTTGTGTATTTTCATTTTTCTTCGATATGTATTTAGGAGTGGAATTTGTAGATCATATGCTAATTATATTTACCATTCTGAAAAAGTACACTAAACCATCTTCCAAAGCAGGTGTACCATTTAATATTCCCAACAGCAGTGAGGGTTCTGACTTCTCCACATTCTCATGAACACTTGCTATCATTTTTATTACATCCATTCCAGTACACAAGAAATGGTGCCTAATGGTTCTGATTAGATTTCCCTAATGATTAATAATGTTGAACATCTAACTGGCCATTTAAATACCTTCTTTGGAGAAATGTACATTCTTATGCTTTGCCCAGTTTTTAATTGGGCTCACTTTTTTTAATGTTTGAGTTGTGAGAATTCCTGATATATTCTGGATACAATTCCATTATCAGATTTAAGATTTGCAAATATTTTCTACCATCAATGAGCTTTATTATCACTTCACTGATGCTACCTACTACTGTTAACAGTACAAAGTTCTTCATTTTAATGAATTCCAATTTATTTTTTGACATTTGTTCTTTGGTATTATATCTAAAAAACTAGTGGCTAGCCCAAGATCATTAAGATTTACTCTTATGTTTTCTTCTAAATGTTTTATAGTTTTAGAACTTACTTTTAGGTATATGACCCATTTCAAATAAACTTTTGTGTATGGTAAAAGGAAGGGGTCCAACTTCCTTTGTCAAAAATCACTGGCCATAAATTTTACTTCTGGATGCTCAACTCTGTTCCGCTGATCTACATATCTGTCTGTAGGCCAGAAACACACTATGTTGATCATGGTAGTTTTGTAGTAAGTTCTGCTATTAGGAAGTGTAAATCCTTTCTTCTAAGATTGTTTTGGCTACTCAGGCATCCTGTAAATTTTTACATGAATTTTAAGATCAGTTTGCCAATCTCTGCAAAGAAGTCACCAGAAATCTTGGTAGGTTATGCAGTGAATCTGCAGGTTATTTGGGGGAGTAATGCCATCTTCATAATATTAAGTGTTCCAATCCACGAACATGAGATCATACCTTTCTATTTATTTCGATCTTCTTTAATTTATTTCAACAATTTTAATTCACAGTGTACAAGTCTTACACTTGTGTTAACTTTATTCCTAAGTATTCTATTCCTTTTGATGCTATAGTAAATGGAACTGTTTTCTTAATTTTCACGTTCAGACTATTCATTGCTATTGTATAGAAATACAATCAATTTTTTTAAAAATGTTGTATTCTACAACCTTGTTGAACTTATTAACTCTAATATATTGTGTTCTGTTGATTCCTTAAAATTTTCCATATACAACATCATGTCATCTACAAATACTTTTACTACTTCTTTTGCAATCTGGGTAACTCTGGTTTCTTTTCTTTAGACAGAGAGAGAGCGCGCGCGCGCGCATACAAGCAGGGGAGAGGGACAGAGGGAGGGAGAGGGGGAGAGTGGGGGATGGAGAGGAAGACTGAGAGAGACAGAGACAGAGAGAAAAAGAGAGAGAGAGAGAGAGAGAGAGAGAGAGAGAGAGAGAGAGAGAGAATATCTTAAGCAGGCTCCATGCTCAGGGCAGAGGCCAACACGAAGTTCAATCCCATGACCCTGGGATCATGACCTGAGGTGACACTAAGAGTTGGATGCTTAACCAACTGGGCCAGCCAGGCACCCCTGCTTTTATTGCCTAATTGCCAAGGCTAGGGCTTCTGCTAGAACAGTGCATAGAAGTATTGAGAATGGACAACTCTGTCTTGTTCCTAATTTTAGGGGGGAAATGTCCAGTTTTTACCACGGCTGTGTATTTTTGTAGATCAGGCTGAGGAATTTCTCTTCTAGTCCTAGTTTCTTGGGTGTTTTTATCACAAAAAGGTGTTGGATTTGGTTACTTTTTGCAGGGACATCCATTGTGATGATCACGTGGTTTTTATCACTGATTCCCATTAATGCACTATATTACATTAATTGATTTTGTGGTGTAAACCAACCTTGCATTCCTGAGAAAAATCTCACCTGGTAAGAGAGTATAACAGTTTTCATATGTTCCTTGATTTGGTTTGCTAATATTTCGTGGAGAATTTTACTGTTGTTATTGGTATTTCTAAGTGATTCTGCTCTGCAGTTTTCTTGTGATCTGTCTGCTTTTGGTATTCAAATACTAGTCTCACAAAGCGAGGA